GAGTAGAGTAGAGTAGAGTAGAGTAGAGTAGAGTAGAGTAGAGTAGAATAGAATAACAGAGCTTGGAAGAGACTTTGTAGATCATCTAGTCCAACCCCTTGCCCAAGCAGGAGTCCTTACACCATTCCTGACAAATGGTTATCCAATCTCCTCTTTAAAACCTTCAGTGTTGAAGCACCCCAATGTCTGGTGGCAAGTTGTTCCACTGGTTAATTGCTTCTCTCCTTGCTTCTTGTCCTGCCTTCAGGTGCTTTGAAAAATAAGTTGACCCCCCGCTTTTCTTTGGGGCAGCCCCTGAGCTATTGAAACACTGCTATCCTGTCTCCCCGAGTCCTTCTTTTCATTAAACTAGGCAAACCCAATTCCTGTAACCACTTATCGTAGGTTTGAGCCTCCAGTCCCCTAATCCTCTTTCTGGCTGTTCTCCGCATGCTTTTGTGCTGACCAAGGCTCCCAGAGAACATAATTAAGCACAGACTTAGTTAAAACGACTCTTGTTTTATTTCAATGCTGGGAATTATTTTCATTCCCCGCTGGTAAGGAGTCCCAAATAGTCGCTCGAGATAAGCACCCACCTTTCTCTCCTTTGAATGGCTGCCAACAACTAAAGGGCCAATTGAACTGTCAAAAACCAACCGAAGAACAAAGTCCACACAGAGCTTCAAGGTTTAATTCTAACAGAGTGAATGACTTTGCTTCCTGCAAAGGTTTCGTCATTGAGGTCTGACTTTTATCCCATATGGGAGGGACAATCACCTCCCAGCCTTACTCCTGAGTTGCCCCTTTTGTCTTAGCTGTTCTCACCTTCTAGCAGCTCTATGCAAGCATGCACTGGGAACAGGCTTCCCTTGTTCCTCTGCCTCGCTGCTGCCAGACTTCGAAGGCTCCGGAGGCAGCACCCCACTCCCAGATGGCCCCGGGCCCTATCCCTGCATCGGATGCAGGACCCTCATCCAAGTCCTCCCCAGACTCCCAGATTGGTCCCCATTCTTCCCCACCGTCCGATTCCGCTGCTGTCTGTACCGGCTGCCGGTGAACCACAGATTCTGCCAGATCATAAAAGACCCTTGGTTTTCTACCCACCCCACCCTGCCCTGTGACTTAGAGCGTGGCATTTCACTGAATCTTTACGGTACCCGTCTGCACATCGACGTGGCGCCTTCCCTCCAGGGGCTCTGGAGTCCTTGTCCGCAGCTGCTCCTTGGCTCTCTTCCTTGCCAGCATCTTCCGATGAGCTTCACGCTGCCGTTGTAACTCCAGAGGATCGGGCTCACTGCACTGGAAAGCCAACCCACAACCGTGTGGTCAAGTGTCGGGGAGTTCTAAAGACCTTTCCTAACAATTTGCGCCCAGAATCTTGATCGTTGAGTGGAAAAGTGGTCTGTGATGACCCAAAGGGGCGTGGCACTAAGGCAACACAGCCAGATAATCAATAAGAGTCCCTTGATTATCTCCAACTTTGCCCCCAATGTCCAGGTTACCTTCTGGCTGGAGAAAAAACTCTCCCGGGAACAGCCTTTGACTGCAGAGAATTAAGTCCAAAACACGATCAACACAAACTGTAATTTAAAGTCCAAACCAACCAAACTGAAGTAATTAGTTTGGCAGGGCAGGAGAAGGAATTTCAGACTTGAAATCACGGCAAAACTCACACAGTTGGGAAGATGCCAGGAACACAGATAAGCCAACAACAACACAAGATAAAGTCACGTTTGCTCCCAGCAGCCTGCCGCATGAAGCTTGCATCTCTTTTAAACTCTCTTCCCAGCTGTGGCTAATGAAGGGAATCAGGGCCCTTTCCGCCCCGGTAAGCCACCCAACTTACATTGCTCCCTTCTCCCTTCCTCCCTGCATGCCCGAGGATGAAGAGGGGGTGGGCCTGGGTCTTCCTCTGAACTCCCTTGTTCTACCTCTTCCCTGCTCTGCCCAGCCGGACGTTGCCCTTCCCCAGTTTCCTCCACAGCCAACAGAGCCACACTCTCACTTCCTGTCAGCTGTTCAGCTTCCTCTTTGGATTCAGACTCTGCCAGGGGCATGACACGTACATTCGGCAAGACACCTTGGGGTTGCTTCGCTCAATGACCGCAACCCTGGCCTTTTTCAAGTTGCAGTTTTCAAGCGACCACCTGTGTCGTTAACTGGAGATTAACGCAATTTTCTTGGGTGGATGGAAGGAGCCCGCTGGCTTCCAATGGACAAGCCGAGCGCCGTGGCCAAAGAAGAACATGGGAAGGGCTAAAGTTGCACGGCAGGGAAGGGTTGGGTTAGATGCCCTCTAGGTCCCTCTCCCATTGCTTTTAAGAATGAACTATTCCCCACCTTCACAGCAAAACCTCTTCCCCAAACCGCTGCCTTGTAAAAAAATAAATAGGCCAGTCTAAGGATGGTTTTGGATCTGGATCTCCCCGTGCCAGTCCAATCCCACCCCGCTATGCTGCCAGGACCCCTTAGTCCCAGGGCTGTGTCTCTTCCACCTCCTCTCCTCGCAGTAGTATTGGGGTTGAGGAGAGAAAAATCTGGCTTGGGCCGCTCTGGGAGGCCACGGAGGAGGCCGCAAACTCGGCGCTCCAAGTTGGCATCTTCTTGATCCAAAAGCGGAGCTGGCATACATTTCCCCACCAACAACACAGTTCCACCTCGTTCCAAACATTTTCCAAACTACTTCCTGAGCGGGCCTCTTTTCAAAAACGGACCCCCCCCCCCACCTCCCAGAGTAAAAGACAAAAAGTTGAAGGAAGAAGGACCCACCCAAGGTAACACGTGGAGGGCATACGTGTTGCCACGAACCACTCTCCGCTCGTACATGAGATTGGCATAGCGAACCGGCTCCTCCTCCCTGGAACGATAAAATTCAAGAGAACGTCAACAAGGAGATATTAAAATAAACATAAAACACCGAAACTTGAAGCTGGCCAAGTTTAAAAACCGGACGTGGGGGAGTTGGTGTTCAGCCTCGTATGATGCCAGCCAAGAGAGAGGAAAATTGGGGCTAGGGGTAATTGTGTGAAAAAAAATATCCTAGGCTGACTTCTCAGCATTTAAACCAATGTTTGTTAACAAGGGTGGTTTGAAGATGGGTGGGTGGGAGTCGAAAGTCCATCCATCTTCAAATCGCCGATATTGACAAACACGGATTTGTGGGGTGAAGAGCAAGCCAAAAAAGATCGTTGCTAAGGCATGATAGTCTTCTTCTAAGATTTGAGGGGCTGCCCCCCCCAAAAGAGGAGGGGTCACCCTATTCTCCAAAGCACCAGAAGGCAGGACAAGAAGCAATGGGTGGGAATTAATCCAGGAGAGACACAACCTGGAATTAAGCAGAAACTTCCTGACGGTGAGGACAAAACGTAGAATAACAGAAGGGACCTTGTAGGTCATCTAGTCCACCCCCCCAAGCAGGAGATCCTGCACCATTTCTGACAGAGGGCAGTCCGGTCTCTTCTTGAAAGTGTCAAGTGATGGCGCTCCCACAGCTTCTTTCTTTCTTTCTTTCTTTCTTTCTTTCTTTCTTTCTTTCTTTCTTTCTTTCTTTCTTTCTTTCTTTCTTTCTTTCTTTTCCTTCCTTCCTTCCTTCCTTCCTTCCTTCCTTCCTTCCTTCCTTCCTTCCTTCCTTCCTTCCCCCTTCTCTCTCTCTTTCTTTCTCTTTCTTTCTACCTACCTACCTACCTACCTACCGACCTATCTATTATCAGATTAACACAGTTGGGAGGGACCTTGTAGGTCATCTAGTCCAACCCCCCGCCCAAGCAGGAGACCCTACACCATTTCTGACAGAAGGCAGTCCAGTCTCTTCTTGAAAGCCTCCAGGGATGAAGCTCCGACAACTTCTTTCTTTCTTTCTTTCTTTCTTTCTTTCTTTCTTTCTTTCTTTCTTTCTTTCTTTCTTTCTTTCTTTCTTTCTTTCTTTCTTTTCCTTCCTTCCTTCCTTCCTTCCTTCCTTCCTTCCTTCCTTCCTTCCTTCCTTCCCCCTTTTCTCTCTCTCTTTCTTTCTCTTTCTTTCTACCTACCTACCTACCAACCTATCTATTATCAGATTAACAGAGTTGGGAGGGACCTTGTAGGTCATCTAGTCCAACCCCCCCCCCCAAGCAGGAGACCCTGCACCATTTCTGACAGAAGGCAGTCCAGTCTCTTCTTGAAAGCCTCCAGGGATGAAGCTCCCACAACTTCCAAGGGCAACTTCTGTTCCATGGGTTGATTGTTCTGTCAGAAAATTTCTCCTTATTTCCAGGTTGAATCTCTCCTTGTTCAGTTTCCATCCATTATTATCCATTAGAATAGAGTAGAGTAGAACAGAACAGAATATTGGAGAATCGAATCGAATCGAATCGAATCGAATCGAATCGAATAGAATAGAATAGAATAGAATAGGAGTTGGAAGGGACCCTGGAGGTCTTCTAGTCCAGCCTCCTTGCTCAGGCAGGAGACCCTAGACCATAGCAGACAAGTGGCTGTCCAGTCTCTTCTTAAAAAGCCCCCAGTGACAGAGCACCCACAACTTCTGGTGGCAAGCAGTTCCACTGGTTAATTGTCCTCCCTGTTAAGAAGTTTCTCCTTAATTCCAGGTTGCTTCTGTCCTGGATTAGTTTCCATCCGTTGCTTCTTGTCCTGCCGCCTTCAGGGGCTTTGGAGAATAATAACGGAGAATAATTAACCAGTGGAACAGCTTGCCTTTAGACCAGGGGTGTCCAACCTTGGCAACTTTAAGACTTGTGGACTTCAACTCCCAGAATTCCTCAGCCAGCAAAAAGAGGTGGAGCTTTTGCCTCACAATCAGCAAAGCTGGCTGAGGAATTCTGGGAGTTGAAGTCCACAAGTCTTAAAGTTGCCAAGGTTGGACACCCCTGGCCTAGAAGGTGGAGCTTTCGCCTCCCAATCAGCAAAGCTGGCTGAGGAATTCTGGGAGTTGAAGTCCACAAGTCTTAAAGTTGCCAAGGTTGGAGACCCCTGCTTTAGACGTTGTGGGTGCTTCTTCACTGGAGGTTTTTAAGAAGAGACTGGACAGCCGCTTGTTTGGAATGGTAGAGGGTCTCTGGCTTGAGCAGCGGGCTAGACTAGAAGACCTCAAAGGTCCCTTCCAACTCTGCCATTCTGTTAGTAACTCTGGCTGGTCGGCGGTGCCATTTTCAAGTCGATTCATGTTCAGCCCACGAAAGCCACTTTGCTGTCGTGGTTAAGCAACCGGCAGACGTCGAGTTCGAGTCCTGCCTTAGGCACAAAACCAGCTGGAGGGGGAGGGGACGGGGTGGCGCCGGCTCATCCAGGCTGCTCCTGGGCCCCCCAAAAAAGAATCGAACCCAGAACCCAGAGAGGTGGAAACTCTACAAACCAGATCGCTAGGTGCTCTTTAGGGTTTGGGGAAGGCTGGGGAGAGAAATGGCGTGTTTTAAGAGGAAGGGGGAGCTTTGCTTTCCTGCAGATGGCTTGACCCAACAGGCCTCTCCTGCCTTCCAAAGTGAGGCTGGATGCCTCCCTTGTAGTTTTAACAGAAGAACAGAATTGGAAGGGACCTTGGAGGTCATCTAGTCCAACCCCCACCCCACCCCCCGCCAAGCAGGAGGCTCTATGCCATTTAACAGATTTACAATCAGTAGAGACCCTGTAGGTGGTCATCTAGTCCGACCCCCTCACCCAAGGAGGAAATCCGACACCATGGAACAGATTAACAGTCGGAAGGGACCTAGTAGGTCATCTAGTCCAACCCTCCACCATTTCTTAGCAACAGCCAAGAGGGGTTGCTCTCTAGATTTGGGGACCCCTGTTTGGGGAGCTGAGGAGGGGGAGGAGGGAGGAGGAAGAGCAAAGCGGGAGGATCTGGGGAGTGATGCCAAGGGGGGGGTTCCCCTTACCCCCACCCCCAAGAGGGGCAACACCCCACCCTCTCTCTCTCCCCCCCCTGCCAAAAAGCTTTGGGGGGGGGGAATTCTGAGACCTCCCCCCCTCAGCTGGCTGGCTGCTACTCACAGCTCATTGGCCTCCAAGGTCGTCCGGTACCGCTGGCGGTTGGGCACGGCCCGAGGCTGGCTGCAGTACGAGTAAGTGCCTGTAGCCACCCCGGCTGCCTCCTCCCGGTTGACCAACACCGAGGTGGACGCCATGCTGACCCACAGCCGCCCTCCGCTGGCTCAGAAGAGGCCTGGCTGGCTGGCAAGTTGGCTGGCAACAATCCTCCTTGGCAACGGTTGCCCGGCGACCTGGGACAGGCTCCTAAGCAATGGTCGCCAAGGTAAACTGAGCCCGCCCCTCCCAGCAAGCGGACAGCTGGAGCTGGCCAGGCCGAGGAGGGCAAGCAGGCACGGGGTGGGGGGGTGGGGGAGGGCATGCCCAAGCAGGCACCCATGTTCTGCCAGGGGGCGGGGCCTTTTGGGTTTGATGGACAGCCCAGCCGAAAAGGACTCACACCTGTGCACCTGTGGAAAGGGGGGGCGGGCTGCAGGATTCTGCTCTCTCTCTCTCTCTCTCTCTGTCTGTCCTCTCTTTTTCTCTTTCTGACTCCGTCTCTCTTTCTGTCTCTTTCTGTCTCTCTCTCTTTTTCTATCTTTCTTTCTGTCCTTCTCTCTGTCTCTCTCTGTTTGTCCTTCTGTCTCTCTCTCTTCTCTCTCTCTCTTTCTCTCACTCTTTCTCTCTCTTTCTCTTTCTGACTCAGTCTCTTTCTGTCTCTTTCTCTCTCTCTTTTTCTCTTTCTCTCTTTCTCTGTCCTCTCTGTCTCTGTCTCTGTCTCTCTCTCTTTCTGTCTCTCTCTTTTTTTCTCTTTCTCTCTGTCCTTCTGTCTCTCTTTCTCTTTCTCTCTCTCTCTCTTTTTCTCTCTCTTTCTCTGTCCTTCTTTCTGTCTTTCTGTCTTTCTCTCTCTCTCTCTTCTTCTCTCTCTCTTTCTCTGTCCTTCTTTCTGTCTTTCTCTCTCTCTCT